GAAGGGTGAACTGAGGGCAGGAAGGGAGATGGGAAAGAGAGACCTCAAGACATCACTGCAATAGTCCAGGTAATTGACACCTAGAGAGAAGGCCAAAACATTACAGTAAAAAACAAAGAACATCAACATAAGTTGGATGTGGGAAATAAGGGAGAAGAGGAAAGAATTAAAGTTGTTTACTAAAAGCATGCGTAACTGCCTAATATACTTTAACAACACCCCCTTCCCCGTTTCAAGCTATATTGTGGATTTCATAGAGAAAAGAAATTTTGGAGATTTACAGAGAAATCTTCTTTCAATATTTAATAAACTGAGTATTAAAGTACCTGTGGTACAATGAAACAAGGATGTCCAGTAGACCCCAGGACATAGGGACCCGGATTTAAGAAGAAAGGTCAGAGCAATGAAGACTTGGGAATCACCAAGATCACAGCTGGTAAGTGAAACTGTGAGCATAAACAAGATTGCCCAGAAAGTCCCTGCAAAGTAAAGAGAGCAGGAACCAGGGAATAAAATGTTGGGGAACACCAATATTTATGGAAAAATCGTTAAAGAGGAATAAACTAATGAAGTGAGAAAAAGAAGTGAGAGCAGCAAAAAATACCACGGAGGACATTAAAGAAGGGTCCTCATGTGGACAAAATTGACGTTAAATAGTATGAGTAAAATCAGCCTCTAGATTGAAAACTACATCATTAGCTTTTTCATCTACAGCAATGTCAATAGACTAGTGGGATCAAAAGTCAGACTGCATTTGGGAAGGGAATGGGAGGGAAGAATGAAGAGGCATTCTCTTTCAATAAATTTTGTAGTCTAAGAAAGCAGAGAGAGAAGGCAACAGGAAAAGTGTAAAGACAGGGGCCAGGGCAAGGTTTTTTGGTTCTTCTTGTTTGTTTGTAATATGGGGTAAAACTTGAGCATGTGTGCAAGCTAAAGTGAAGGAGCCAATGGAGAGGGAAAGATCTAAGATGAAAGACTGAAGAATTAAGCTGTTGAGCCCGTCTCCAAAATGGTGAAAGTGAAAGAGCTGTAGAAAGGTGAACCTTTCCTTGGAAAGGTGACTACGTATACTTCTGAAACTGGGGGAGGGAAGAGAACGAGATGGTTGCTTAAGATCTTGTAGATAAGTTTAGTAATGGTGGGAGGGAAGCTTGGAGAGTCCACACCACACATCACTATTTTTTGCAGTAGAGTAGGAAGTCAATTATCTGCTTGAAATGGATGTTCAGGAATGGGGAAGAAGCCCAACAGTCACTAAGGTAAAAGAAGCAAAGCTCATGAACAAAGATACCTGCTGAAAATGAATCCTACCAGTTTCTGCAATCAGATTAAGCCTCTGTTATGAAGAACGAAGGTCTCAAACTGAATCGGGCTAGAATTAGGGTCAAAAAGGGGGATTCAGACAGATCTCTCCTCAATAGAGACCAAATAAGGTCTAGGATAAAGTAGGCATGTCCACAGAGTGTTTAGTTCTGACTCAAAGTAATTCCCTACTAGATTTAAAGTGGCCTTATAAGAACAGAAGTGATAAACCTAGAATTACAGGAGAGAGAACAGTTTCAAGTCAGTAACATCCAGAATTATGGGCTTATCTAGCATTTAAAATATATTAGATGTCACCAAGAGATAAAAACAAAGAAAAATCCCTACTCTTTATACACTACATTTTAAGTTACTGAGAGGCATACAGTCTGAAATTTATGTTATAACCAAGAGGGCCTTGCAAAGTGCTTAGAACACAGCATGGGTTCATACTTGCTTGCAACGGAAAAAGCAGTTTTGACAGACCCTGCACTTGCCAAAAGCCTTGCCTTGCCTTTAATCCATAAGTGTGACACGTATTCAAATATGCACATTTATTCTCTTAATTTGAATCTCAAACCCTGGGGTTGATCAGATTCTGAGTCTTACCTAACTGTCCCATAGATAAGGAATGCAATATTCAGAGGAGGGTAGAACTATAATTTCTGTTTCAACTCTATGCAACTACGAAGGAGAAAAATCCAGGTTCTATTGCCTCAGTCTAGGTATATCAGGATCAAATTTCTTGGGTGCTCTCTATTTTTTACTTTAGAACTACAATGAGTTTAACAAAATCAACCCTACACTATTACTCTTGTTCTTTTATCATGGAAGAACTATCTGCACTAAGACACAACGTAAAATTTGCTTTATGACAACCCAAGAGTGCATTGTATTAAGCTGAGATACAAGACATCAAAATATAGAGATTTTTATCTTGTATAAAAAGCTAACAGCAAAAACCTAAAAGATGGCTAAAATGCTTATATGAAAAGTGTATCATAAAAACAACATTAAAGTATTAAAAACTGCTGATTTGGCTATAGACGAATGAACATTAAGAAATGCAAACTTGGTTTTAATAATATGAGTGATTACTGTGGACTTAGAATATTTATCAAACTTAGGAAAAACACCTACTTTTCTTCTTTAGAACCTGGTCTTTCAAATCTCCATTAACAACTCAGTGGCAAAGATAAAACATCTGCCAAAATACAGATGACCACATGAGCAAGCATCCTAACAGTAGTTAGTGTATGCTTTTACATTTAGGCATTTAGTGTAATGCTTTAACACACTGCCTCTAGACTGCTGGGGTGGCCCCATAAATAAATACTTTTAATAGGCGTTTACTTCCTTAAAGTAACAAACTGTGTTTAAAAGTAATATATTCTTTAAGAGAAAACGTTTTCATTTAAGCAAGACAAATTACTACCAGGGTTAGACAATAAAACTGTTTTCTAATCATGTGCACCCTTGATTTTGAAAACTCACTTGGAACAAAGAAAAATTATTCAACCACTGAAAAGACAGTCCATGTCACTGTCATTATCTAAGTCAAATTTTATTTGCCAGTTACTAAAAACTACTGAAACTACTGATGTGCTTTTAAACAAAGTATAATTGGACTTATAGGGGGGTGGGGGAGGAAAGGAGTGTAGTAATTCATTCTGCATCTTATAAACCAATAGGGTTTTATAGGGTTGCAGTTTGCCTGTAAGTAGACGGAAGGAGCATTTCAGGTAACTTCTTTTACCACAAAGGTCAACTGAAACTAAGTGGCTTCCAAAAAATGCCTTGGATTACCAGTCATCTATAAATGAAACTGAAAGCGAAATGAAACTTCAGTACAAAACGTACACATCTGTGACTGTTTTACTCATTTTGAATTCTAAATTCAGTCTCTTAAATACCCTGGTTGATAATGACTTGTGTTCTATCTTCATACGTGTTTTTTAAAACTACATATTAAACACACACAAAATCCATTATATCTTATGACAAACACTATCACTTTCTGTTTTATAGTCAACACTTCCTGAACTCAAATGTACAATACCTCTATTTTCCTTTTTTTTCAGGTTATTATTAAGTACAATAAAATACTATAAATTGTGAATTCTGTGAATCTGTAGGGAATTGAGCACATTAATATTGCATGTAAATGAGTGTTAATTATATGTGGCTTAACTATTATTAAATAAGGCCTAGCAGAAATCTTATCCCCAAAAGTACCATTATAGCAGTTCTTTCCCATCTGCTTGGAAACAGGACCACTGCTTTTAATATAGTATATGATTGACATTTTTTATTCTTCAGACTAGCTTTGATGCCAACAGTCTGAATTAGTGATATTTTATTGCATATTTGTAATTTGGTTCAATATGAAGGCTTTCTGATCACACAACAGGTTTTTGAAAGCAGTATTATTTTTGCTATAGTAATAGTAATGGTAAGAAGCCATTAATGATGATGACAAGAAATACTACCTTATCTAATTATCAACTCTTTAGATAATAAAGATATCGTCAACAACTCCAACAACCCAGGATGTTTCAGAGATTGGAGAAAGTGGTAAGCAAGCATTTAAAGGCATAATGGAAATGGCTTGAAATCACAAGCGTTTATAAATGGCACACTTAGGCTAATAATCAGTTTAAAATATAATTAATTTAGCATTCTAGAATTAAATATAACAATTGCGCTACTCAAATTCAATACTGAATCTTACAAAAAGTTAACAGAAGACTGTACAGATGTGAAGTGTGACAGGCACTGTAGAACCACGAAAATTCCCATTCCTCACTTTTTACAGACGAATCACACGCAAAAAAAAAAAAAAAAAAAAAAAGCATAATGGATTCCAAAAGCCTGGGGGGCCAACCGCCTTTGGCGTTGAAAGACACCAAATCCCACTCTGCAGCAAATACCGTTTGACGTCTTCATATTTCAAGCGAAATCTGGATTACTATTAAAACGGTTCGCCCAAATAAAGTGGAAAAAACTTGAACGTACAATTTGGACTATATTAAAGTGGTTGATACGGCGTGGCGGTAGGAGTTTCCAGGTAGCTTATTTCTAAGGTTAAAAAAAAAAAAGCGGCCAGAAGATTCTTCTGATTAAATGCTGGGTTGGAAATGCAACTTAATTGTTCCTTTATGTTTCTTTAACTCTATGTTCTTGTGGGAAGGCAAACAGGAGAAATCCCGTCTTGCAGACTTCGTCAAAATGCGCACTTCTATTGCAAGAGGCCCGGGCCCTCCCACTCTCTCCCTCTTCATCCCCAAATGCGTTTGAGCAGCGAAGAGGAAGAGGGGTGCAAAAGAGGGGGGGCCCTAACAGTTGCCACCCCTCGCCTCTGATCGCGCCCTTTCTCTCTACAGTTAATTTTTGCGTGAGATGCACGGCTCAGAATCTTCCTCGGTGTGCATCTGGAGGTGGAGTACGGGGGAAGGAGATAAACCCCGCTCTCACCCTGCGGGAAGAGGAAGAGGAGGGAAAGGAAGGAAGGGGGCGCAGGATTACCCTCGGGCCCTCCTACGTCCGCACCCGGGGCGAGCAGGGCCCGCGCGTCCCGCGCTCTGACCACCCTCTCCAAAGCGCCGCCGGGCCAGCCGGGACGCAGCCCACACACCCGCGGGGGCGCCTCGGGGGCGGCGAAACACTAGTCTCTGAGCCAGGAGAGAGGGGCCACTCACCGCAGCACGCTGAGCCCAGCAGCAGCACCACCAGGGGCAACATCTCCGCGGCCGCCGGGCGGTTACCGCCGGCGCCGCCGCAGGTGTCTGGAGCAGCCGCCGCAGCTGTTACAGGCACTATCGGCCGCCACCGCCGTCACGGGCAGGACCGGACGCCGCCGTCCGTCACAAGCAGGACCCGCCGCCCAGGCTGCCTGGCCGCGCGCACGCGCGCTCCTGCCACCCCACGTCCGCTACCCCCCTTCTCCCGCCGCGCGAACCGCGCACGCGCACTCGCCCCCGCCCCGCCGCCGGGACTGTTGACGCGACGCCCTCCTGCCTTGCGGGCTTGAGTCCCCACTCCAGTCCGCTCCGACGAGGCCTGGATCCCGCTCCCACGCAGCGGCACGCGCCGGACTTTCCGGTCACGTCCCGTCATCCCCCACTCCCCACCCCCGCCGTCTGTTTGTCAGCCCGTCACAGGAGGCTGAGGGCTGAGCGTGTATTCTTACGCTCACCGGGGACCTCCTTGCACCCGCCTTCTCCGCGGTTCTCTCCCGCCTCTCACACCGTCCTGGGTCCGGTGTCCTCCCTTCGCCGGTCCTCTCTCCCTTTCACTCCCACCCTCACGCTTCAGGAGCGCCACCCTCCGACCTGGGCTCCCCGGCCCGCACGAACCCCTGATGTCTCCCCCCTCCCGCGTCCGACGTCCGCTCGCGCGTCGACCCTGCCGCGCCCTAGCCCCCACCTCTGGCGGCGCCCCCTAAACACCACGCCCCCGCAAGCGCGCGCGTCGGGTCGGGGCGTCGCTACGCTTCCCCGCGTTCAGGGAGCCCGGGGCTCTTCGCTGAGAGCGGGCCGGCGGCCGGGCCTGTCCGCAGCGAGCTCCCCCTCGGCCTCGGGGGCTCCCGAGCAGCCCGGAGTTCAGCGAGCCCCCGCTGCCCCATGGGCTATTGTTTCTGCTGCGGTTGTGAGCTCTCGGCGCGCTTTCTCGCCTTGTTCGTTAGTATTTTCCTCCTTTGAACAGGGTTCCTCAAACAGGTCGGTCGTGGAGGTAAACATTTTTAGGTGTGGTTAACGCCGCAGCCCCCGGGGGCAATCAGGCATGGTTGTACACGTTCGCCGACACACGACACACTCAAGACATCCCGTCCAGGATCCTCATTGAGCCTGGTGAGTGACAGCAACTCGCGCAGCCCTCTACAGTTTGGGGTTAGCATGCTTGAAAAATGGGTTCAAAATGTGGACAGGGACTTTGACGACTTCACTGAATCACACAGGACACATCATTCATCCTGAAGCAAAAGCTCTACCTTTAACACTTACCCTAAATAATGAACTCTCTTGTCGAAAAGTCAGACTCTGGTGGCTACTCTAATGGGTGCGTATCTGTCTGCTCCCTTGGTTGTTTTTCTCTTACCTGATGGCAAAGAAAGCAGTTTCCCACCACAATATCCCACTTCTCCGAATCCTTTACCCGTGGTGACGCCTCCATTGCACCCCATCCCCGTTGTAATAAAATCCAGGAAATAAAGTTGCCCCTCTCTGACACTGTAGCAGTATATTGTATACTTGTGTGACTTTTTCCTATAGTTACTTTGTTGTCTAACCTCTTCCTCACAGCATTATCAATTCTTTCAAATCAGAGAATATTTTAAGTATTTCCTCCTCTAAGACTTCCTGTTGAACTGTGAAAACAGAAGGGGTTTAATAAATGTGTTAATGTGACTTGAGGCAAGAGTTGTTCCAGTGAAATTTTACTGTTTTTTAACGATTAGAAAAAGAAAGAAAAACAATCGCCTAGCAGATATCTCACTAAAACAATGGTTAATAATTATGGTGGTAATGATTTGAATGGCAGCCTTGACACCCTGAGGCTACCAAAGGGACTGATGGATTCTCCTCCAACTGCTGCTTATATGGATACAAAAGAATCATCCACCAGACTTTGAGCATTCAGGACATTGTGTATCACAGAGCAGCTGGTTGCCTAAATAAGGCTGTCAGCTGTCCCTGAGACCAACCGACCCCCCCTAAAGCTGAAGAGTGACTGGGAAGGACTGTCCCCAATCTTCAGAGGTAGAGATTGAGGGATGCTCTATTTCATACCGGGAGCCGCTGAGGCTGTGTGCTTAATGTAGCTCTGTGCAGAAAATGCAGTAGGCTTAAGTCAGGTTAATGAGAGGCCACCCGGGTGAATATCTCTACTCTTGGGAATGTGTTTTGATGGTGGAGCAAGAGGAGGCCTATTCCAGGAGAGAGAATCCAAATCTCTCTTAGACAACCTTGGGCTCTTTTCTCCAGTATCTAACCACTTTACATTTATGTTTCCCTTTTAATGCTCCCAAGGCTTTTAATTTGGATTTTGAGTTCATCTGATCTTTACATAAGGGTTTTTTGTTTTTTATTTTTTGGTGGAGTGGGGGAGAGTGGAAGGCAAGGGAGTAATATATATTAGAATGTTTTGAACAGAGGTAATGCACATTCAATTTATCACCTAAATGAATCTTCGCAACAGCCATAGAATGGGTATTATGATCTCCATTTTAGCAATGAGGAAACAAAGGGAAAGAGGGATAATGAGCTTTTTGCCCACACTTATATGTGATACTTCTCTGACTTTCATTTATGTCTGTCTCCCTTGTCCTCTTTTTGACCTCCTCCAAAAAGACTTTCTCAATCCTTTTTCTCTTTCCTATAATTCTCCACCACTTAGAGGGTCCGATTACTTCTTCCATTACGCTTTGTTCATGCCGCTAATAAAATGTGTCAATAGATATTTCTACAAAATGGTCTCCTCTTCTATCATGTCAGCTCGGAGAAAATGAATTTTTTCCTGGGTATATTTGCATCTCCAGGGTCTGGCACAGTGCCTGGTCGAGACCTAAAGGCTCTGTCTACGTTGACTCAATCAAGAGAAATCAATGTGATACATAGTATGCAAAAAAATTTTAGCCTAGGTTTGAGTCTCAGCTCTAGCCATGTACTACCAGGTGACCTCAGACAAGTTACTTAACCTTTCTGAGCCCTAGTTTCCTCCTTTGTAAAGCTAGATGATAAAAATAATAGAAATTAACTCTTCTATTGCCTTGAGAGTATCTAAGTTAACACTTTCACAGTTACATGGAGCAGTGCCCGCTGTACAGTAAGCACACAGTATTTAGCTCTTACTATTACAATCTCCTTATAGTGAGGTGGTTCTCCTGGAAGGGTAGTGAAAATTATTGTCAAAAGGATCACCAGTTCCTGGTCTGGAGCCTTAAAGAAGTGCTGGGACTTGGCAAAATGTCTACAGTTTGATTCAAGCTAGAGGCACATGTCTGTGCCCAGTGGGTAGCCCTTAATCCTCTTGCTTTTCTGCACACTTGGTTAGTGATTGAATGCTGAGTGGCCCACATCTCTGACACCTGGCTCAGGGCTCAGTGTCCTAGGGTGTTATTTCGACTTGACCTAGATATTAAAGCATAGGAGCTCCAGTCATCAAATAAAGTAGTGTAGCAAGGAGGGTCTGTGTTCTCTGATTAAGGACTAGGTTTGGATGGTTAGGCAGCTGGAAGATACTGACATGTGGTTGGAGAGATGGATTTGGCTTAGGGAAACGGAAGGCTTTAACAGCGGGAAATGATCTTCCTAGTCCGTGCTTCAATTAGAAGCAAATATTAGAAACAGAAACTGCCTCCAGGTAGGAGAATGGCAGGACTGAGGGTTCCAGGTAAGAAATATCCTACCAGAGAGATAACAGTCGGCTCTAGTGTAAATTTCCTTCTGGATGTCAGATGTGCACAGGCTTGTTTTGCCTAAGTCAGGGGAAACACAGCATTTCCTGCTCCCCCTCCTGCTCCTTCTGGAGGCTACTCATGTAGGCGACCCACACTCATGACACCTGGAAAGCACTAGAGAAAGCCAGCTTCTAGGTTAGGTTGTAAAATCACAGCAGACTTATTTCTTTGACAGCACATAATGTTTAGGGTCCTGGGAAGGCCCTTCTGTATCTTGCTTAACTCTCTTTTTTGAGGGCAGATAACATACATGCAGTGGGTACAGACTATGCACCAAGACCTCACTGTACTAGTGTATTTATTTTCTATTGCTGCCAGAACAAATTTAGGGGCTTAAAACAACACCCATTTATTATCTTACAGTTCCGTAGGTCGGAAGTCCACTGGACTCAGCTGGTTTCTTTGCTTCTGGCCCCACCAGGCTAAAATCAAGGCATTGCCTGGGCTGCTTTCCCTTCTGGAGGCTCTAGGGGAGAATCCATTTCCAGGTTTATTCAGGTGGTTGGCAGAATTCAGTGTCTGAGGTCCCCATTTTCTTGCCGGCTGCTGTCTGGGGACTGGGAGGTGCTGCTTAGCATCTAGAGGCCTCTTTTGGGCCATTGTGTGTAGTTGCATGTGGTCTCTGAGTATGTCAGAGCTAGCAGTGGTACACTAAATCCTTCTTATGTTGGCATGTCTCTTCTGCCTCCCCTTCTTCTGCCACATTTCTATGACTGACTCTTCTGCCTTCCTCTTCTACTTTTAAGTGCTCAAGTGATTAGATTGGGCCCCTCCCTCCGGCAATCCAGGATAATCTTACTATTTTAAGGCCTGTAACCTTAATCACATCCACAAACTCTCTTTTGCCATGTAAAGCAACATACAGATTCGCAGGAATTAGGGTTTGGCAATCTTTGGGAGGCATTACTCTGTACTGCAGTTAGGTTCTTTTTCCTATTTATTCCCTTAATCTTTGTAACAGCCCAGTAAGAGAAGCATTGTTCATACCCACCGTGTACGTGAAGAAACTGAAGTTGGGAGAGGTTGATACCACAGGCAAAAATGGTGGACTGAGGTGTGAATCTTGCTTGAGAGCTCACGCTCCTTCCTCTGCAGAGGAGTATAGGAAGCAAAGCAGGTGTGTGATTTGTCGCTGTCCCTGCACTTCCCACTATTGCTGCTTCTCAACTTAGTGAGGATGTCACCAAGGTGTCCCCCAGATTTCCAGCTCTCCTCCCAGGTATGGGAGACGATGAGCCACTGGATCCCTGATAAAACCGATGGCATGCTCAAATAGAGTGATTTAGAGGAGATTAATATACGAGGGTGTGGGCAGGGTGAAAAGCAAACCAACAAGGAATGGCCAAATGCTGTTATCTAACAACAGCTGTCTGCCCCTAGGTGCCTGGTCTGAAGGTGCAAGGGGGAAAGACAGGGTTACCAGAACCCTGAGAGGAAGGAGAACCTGAAGGGGGGCTGCCTGGCAGGACAGCTTTAG